ACACACACACACACACACACACACACACACACATATATATATATATATATATAGTTATATATATATATATATATAAATATACATATACAGTATATTTCTGGACCTCACAAGTATATGTATAGAAGTTAGAAATCAAATGGCGTATGTGATTTGACTTCTTGAGCAAAAATAAATGATGCTTTCCACAAGTAACAATGAATCAGGATTCTTCTGTATATCCATATATGACACAAGTGAACAAAATACAAATCACTTTAAAACAACAACGCTAGCACATACTTGTTTTTTCGATTGAACCGCGACGAACTCCCGAGATCCAGTTTTAACCCAGCTTTCAGCCCTTTCTTACGCCCTGTTTGAAGTGGGGCAGGTTTCACCGATATCTGCGGAGCTGGGTTCTGCCCCACTTCTTTCAGTGTATGATCCGACATTGTAATTGGATCTTTCATTGATCCTGGCGTAGAATCGACAGATTCTTCCGACGCTTGCAGCGCTTGTTGCATCTGTCTATCTCCAAAACCACAAGATTGATCTTCGGTGGGGCTATTGCGCATTTCACTTTGTACCAGGTCACTCGCAGTCGACGTTTGGGTTCGCATTTGTACTACTGCTTTATCCGCACTGGAGCTGGGATCACGCACTTCTTCTCCAGAAGGAGGATTAACTTGATGGTCGGCCATATTGGATGTATAGGTGATAGTTCTAAATACTATTGATATACTCGAACTCCCGACTGCATCCGAAGATATAGATCAAATTGCCAAGCGCATTTTGGTATACATGTGAGTTCAACTACCCACCCCAAGCTCCGATCGTGAACTTACTGGGCTGCCTACATAATCGTTTGGAGATCTGAACTAGCGCATCTATACCGCTTAGTATTTAAATACAACCAATATTCACAATATATATATAAGCGAATGTTGTATGTGTATGTGTTCAGGGTTTGTTGAAAAAAAAAGAAAAAAGAAAGGTGATTGCACTGATAGTGATTTGTTATCTTTTTCTTCTTCAAATATGATCTTTTGGCTTTTGCCCCTGCTTCGTGACAACTCCGGGCTTTTGACTATTAATGTAATTCTGGTTTCCCACACATCACATAGTTGAATATACATACTTTAATAGCGGTAAATGTTACGAGATGTAAGCAACGTGAATATCGTACAGTATCACATTTAATCGAAGAGCAGTCAGGGCAATTTGTATCGAGGTTTGGTGTACTCGATCCAGCCTTGTTGATTAGTACGATGTGTGGCACAAGTCCCGATCGATAAACGAACTGCAGATTGTGTGTGCTATTTGGCCGTTCTTGAACTTATGACCACTGCAATAATCGCATCAGTGAGAGATATACATCAGGGGAGTGAGTTGTTTACTAGAAAACAATGTCAACAACAAAAAGATGTTTTAGGTTGTTTTTTGGTCTCCTGATTTCTGACTATCGAAATTATTTTAATCAAGCATGCACAATTTTAAAACAATCTGTAGATGCCTTCGTTTGAGGCATCCATCTTCTTAGACTTAAAAATGTACAATACGGGAGGGGTGTGCGAATAATGTGTAGATTGCGTTCTTCCTCTGGTACCCAGGTTGTGTTTGGGACAATGATGTATAAATGTGACAATTTAACACATTGCCTTATGTGTGACAGTGCAGCAAAATACATAAAACATCTTTATCATTCCTCTATTTCAGTGTGTATTTAGACTGTTCGTAAAGAAAAGCCATCAAAACTCTCGTGGAAAACTACGCCGGAGTGAAATTAGCAGACAAGCACAAAAATGTGTAAATGTGTGCTATAAGCGACATCTCAATCCTTACGAGCGATTATTTCTGAAAATAAAATTCCTGGAAACCAGTCGTGGAGGCGATTAGCCACCTTATTTAGAACTTCGTGATACTTTGTAACGTGCAGCCTTAGTTATGAATTCAAGGTAGAAACATGACTCTGGTGGAAGTCTCACCGGGGGTTTATTGTGAAACACTTGTTTTTCCAGAGGAATATAATTCTCTGTGGAAAAGATACTACACCTTCCTGACTTCCTCTATGTAAATAAAGAAATAGCGAGAGAGAGAGAGAGAACGTTAAATATTTTCGAGAGACTCTATCCGTCAAGTCTTTCCCCCCAGAGAGAGATAGCCATGGAGAAAGTCATTTTCGAGAGGCTTTAATTCTTTATCCAGGGCATCACCGGATCAGCATAGCCTCCTAAAAATTGAACACGGGACCAGAGTTCCAAACTCCAGACTGCCAGAGACATAGCCTGCCCTCCAGGTTAAAATAATAGCATTTTAAGAGGGAGGCTATGCCACACGGGTCGGGCGGGAGAGGGATCACTGGGAACGTGTGGGACACGAGTCCGGGACAGACTTCCAGTCCCAGAGACCCAGACTCAAGACTCAGTCATAAGTCTACAACTCTACATACATATTTTATGTTTTGTTGTTTTAAAAAAATAAATAAATACGTTTAACGGACTCGTCTCGAGCGCCCGTCGGACGATGGTCTACCGACCTTCCGTTCTCCAGACTCGTAGAGAGAGACATATTTATCTAGGCACCCCCTCGTCACATACAACATTTGTGCGAGATACATAGAACAGATCAATAGAATGGTGAACTCGATCGCAAACGTAGCTCTGGTCGTCAAAGACTACGACGAAGCAAAAGACTTCTACATCAACAAGCTTGGCTTCACTTTAGTCGAGGACACTACACTAAGCCCTGAGAAGAGATGGGTTGTGATACGCCCACGTGGTGCAGAGGCCAACACCAGTACGTGTTTACTACTAGCTAAAGCAGTGGGCGATGAACAGCTTGCTTGTGTGGGGAACCAGGCTGGTGGACGTGTGATGTTGTTTCTCAACACAGACAACTTCTGGGAAGACTACCATGAGATGAAGGAGAAAGGCGTGGAGTTCCTGGAGGAGCCCAGAGTCGAGTCGTATGCTACAGTGGTCGTGTTCAAGGATCTGTATGGGAACAAATGGGATTTTATACAGAGAAAATAAGCTGATGTAAAACTGTAAGAACCGAGTCGTAGGATTGAATATACATATAAATGTTAGATGCAAGCCAATGGATTTGAGCAGGAAAAGGTGCAACTGTGAGATTTCACGCTGGGCTATGACTTTTTGATGATCCCGTGAGAAGTGGGTGGTTAACACTCCATCCTGCTATGATGTATACTATCATCAGCGCAATCTGAGGCAATTAATTTAGATTGTTTGGCTTAAGTGTCATAGTCCGATGATGCGAAGGTGTATTGCATTGATTTGTATAACGACCACTCCGCAATCACGGATCTAGTACAGAACGTCTATGTTAGCCATTGCCTTTACTATTGAACGTACTCCACCTGCAAGCCTGCATACGAAATAAAATATTCGTTCCAGGTTTCTGTGCGAATTTCAAGATTTCAGAGAAACTGCAAGTAGGTGGCTGGCAGATTTGTCAAATCCAATTTACTTTTATGCTAAAACGATTCGTATGAGCCGGCCAAGATTCGGAGACGATCAGGGTTCGAGATGGAGGCTATTTGGTCTACAATTTTAAGCAAAGTACTTCGGCACCAACTTAGCCTCGGGTAGAATCTCAATGTGAGCACAAGCTGATTGGTTTCAGGGTGCACTGATTTGCGCAACGATATGCACGTGCAAGCGAAGGCTGCACTCACATCGGTGTGCCGTAATAAATTCGGTTGTTCAAGTATCGCAGCGGCCCGTACACATATATTTTATTATATATTGTCACGTTCCATATCGTCAATCACAGGAAGACTCCGCACAGTCCACAACTTAAACAGTAAAACGTGCCAGAAACTACAGTAGTACTTCTGGGTGAGCTTCAAGTACCAACTTCTGTTCATCCATAACATATAGTACCAAATCTGATCCCATTAATATGGAACAGGAATCTGTTCGTCGAGTTGTATGTACACGTGCAACTGCAACTCTTGACGGTAATTGCGCGGTGCCGAAAGGAGAATCAGTGTGCGTTCTTAATCGATGTTTTGTTTTCTATGGTCTCTGCAAGGAAACTTGCAACACGCATATAAAATATAGAAGAACTAAGCATTTATTATGAGGACCAAGAAAATGCCCTAAATACGGATAAATGTCCATTGACTGATGTTTTCCAAAACTATGTAAATGAATACGTACCTGCTAAATACCACTCGGTAGTCGGTACTATGTAATAACTATATGTAGCCAGCAGCCAAATAAAAAGTAGTGGACAGACATTGACATTATGACATATACATGGATTTTTGATTTTCAGGTTCCATCACAACTATTACATAAGGAGAGTGAGAGACCTCAGATTCTGAGATTCAGAAAACACAAGCGAGGGTTAAAAATGCCACATTGTTCCAGTAACCAACCAAATTCAATTTATCGCCAAAAACCAAAGCGGCCATGGTCTGAGCCACTGCATAGCCACACAGCCACACGCAGTATTGCGTACTTAAACTTAAGACAAGTAAATAGGTGCATCTTATTCCCATATAATCACTGTGAAAACTAGAACTCTGTCACACTGACTATGTAGAACCACACGAAACTATTAAATACCCACCATGAGCGCCGAACAGAGATATTGCAGTATATAGACTTGCAAGCCTCAAAGTTTTGCATCGCCAGCGAACATCCGACGACATATAGGTGCTATGCCTAAGTGCTAGGGATAACGACGACTGCCACGTGAAGCGATAACAACTTGGCGGGATGGAAATACAGGAAACTATATTTATATATATACATTCACTACATTCTAAGCTCATTTTTATGTGCTTCTGCACGCAGGGACGCTGCCACCACGAGAAGGCCATCCTATCCGTAGGATACATGTGCCGTTCCGTGTGTTTCGCTCCACCGAACAATCTACCAGCTGGTCATTTGGCTGGTACTTCCCCAAATCTAACTTGAATCTAAATAGGTCTACATCATCGTGCTCGGACGGCATGAGCTGCAAAGTTGTTGGAAAATGAGTGCATGAGTATTGAGACAATATGTTGGCTCTTGAGCGGCGCTACTACCAAGAACGCACGTTAATACGTTGAATACATATGTATAGTTTGAGCCTCAATGTCAAATATCTAACTTGATGCACATATACCACATTTTATAAGGGGAATCAAATGCCACGAGACAGTACGTATTGGGCAAGGTAGAATACCTTTCAAAATTAATAGATGTGCGAGCAAGCCATTCTCACAATTCGACGCCAAATTGAACGGAGAATCTTCATGCGCACAAAACAATTTTTAAGTTTTAAAGGTATAGGTCTAGTTGCCAAAGTCATACGAACATACTGCTCCATGAACTATTCGTCGGGCGCCATAGACACCAAGAACTGTGAAGCATCTACGATGACCGATATACGTAGGTGTAGACTTAAAACAGCATATATCGATAGCCATCGTTTGGGAAAACAACGAGTCAAGGAAAGGGCGAGCCACCTATCTAAGTAGTGTATTGAATCGATACACAAGCAGGCACTAGGTAGCGGTAGACGGAGATGGATAGTTGCAAGATGTTTCAAAAGAACCTACCATGAACACAGACAGACACACGTACGCATATACATGATAAATCATACACAAAAAACACACGTTTGCGAATATGATATTGTTCACCTACATCGCTTAGGGCAGCTCAGTGGTTCGTCGTCATTGATGGTGACTTCGTGCAGATGGCCCTTGAACCGGTATTGCACGCGCAGCTGCTTATCCTCTCCCATACAGCAGTCATAGAATCCAATCAGACCGGACTGAGGAAGTGTATTTGAGAGAGAAAGATTAGATATTGCAACTCTGGAAACGGCGCGGGACAGAGGATCCGACGGTGGTGTATACAAGCACTTGGTTTTATTGCGTACCTTACTACTCGCTTAAGGACGCGGAAGTGGTTGTATATCTTTGTGTAAATGACTTTAATAATCTTTTCAGCTGGGCATTGTTCTGAGATTTCTATAGTACCAAATTATAGTCGCAAGTAATCCAATAC